GGTCAAACAGCAACAGGTCAAGATCAGCAGCTTTTGCAGGAGAATGAAGTCCAGTGTTGGCTTGCAATATAAGGAGAGGAGAATTAGTGTCAGTTGATCCCTTGGGAAGCAAGAGGCAGTGATGCAGGTCAGAATGGACTTTTTTCTTAAGAGCTTTCAACAACTTACATTACACACCCATATGCAATGGATGGTGCTAGCTTATTTTGTTGCTTCAGGTTTTGTGCTAAAAGCCTTTTCCCCTATTTTCAGTACACAAGCCAATATGAAGCATTATATCATTTTTAAATGCTTCTTTCACCACACTACTTCTTTTTCTCTCTCTGCAGCGGCATTTATGTGAAAGCTAATATCTGGAGAATTTACATGATTTAATAAGGAAATCGAGCGACAATAGCATTGAATACTGATGTAGCCATGGTATTTATTGGTTTCATAATGTTCCTTCTGATGAGGTCAGTATTTCTCCCGAGAAACTGAATGATTTTAAACTGGCAACACATTACACACATTGCTGCCTATATCATGCTGTCTATGGAAATCTGTTCATTTGAATTCCTCCAGAAGTAAAAGGCATCTTTTAGAGTAAACAAACAATGATTGCCAGAAACAAAAACAATGCTAGTTAGAGCACTTTGTCCATATGTCTACTCAAGCACTACCATGCGACATTGTAATTTCTGGTTATGAGTCTACTGTGGTCAATTAACTGGGCACTTTGTAAGGTCTAAGATGATGTTTAATGTACTTTTATCTCCGTGTTGACTATTAGAGTGCCTAGAACATAGTAGATCCTCATATTCATGAATGAAAGGAAGATAATATATTGGGAGAGGAATAGCAAGATAAGCAAATATAAATTGAGATATCTATTTGACCAGAATTGAAAGACTGTAGAGGTCAAAGAGATGCCAATCTTATGGGAAATAGAAACATCTTTATTTTCTGCTTCTAAACATACAATTGTCGGATATAGGGGTTGTGAGAAACTTAGAGCCTATGCTTCAATAAAATACTTCAGGGCACCTGGCTAGCTCAGACTGCAGTGCATGAGGCTCTTAAAATGCTCCCTTTTTCGCTGGGCGCGGTGGCTCACGCCTGTAATCCCAGCACTTTGGGAGGCTGAGGGGGGCGGATCCCGAGGTCAGGAGATCGAGACCATCCTGGCTAACACGGTGAAACCCTGTCTCTACTGAAAATACACAAAAATTAGCCGGGCGTGGTGGCGGGCGCCTGTAGTCCCAGCTACTCGGGAGGCCGAGGCAGGAGAATGGCGTGAACCCGGGAGGCGGAGCTTGCAGTGAGCCGAGATCACACCACTGCTCTCCAGCCTGGGCGACAGAGCGAGACTGTCTCAAAAGAAAAAACACAACAACTCCCTTTTTCTCTACCAACATCGTTATCTCCCTCTGCTCAGACTCTTCGCCCTGGGCTCCTGCTTCTCTATTGACCAGCATCTTGATCCAACTGCCCTACTTCTGGCCCTTAGAGATCAGAAAGAGGCCAGAGTCACTGGTCTGCAGTAGTGGGGATGGCTATAGCATGAAGACTGTCTGTGCCTCTGGAGCCAAGAGGAACCAGGGATAGTTCGGGTAAAAATGGGCTTGGGAAGCAAACGGACTATCATTCAACGGATAAGCATACAAATTCAGGGATCCCAAAAGTGCCTACAAAGCTGGTCTCAAGGGCAAGGAACTGGTAGAAGAAAGCAGAGCACCATTATTCCAAATGTCAAACCAAGCCCAAGACTCAGGGTGTCTATTCGAATACATTCCGAGCAGGTTATTGACACGGACTCAAGGGCCAATCACGGCAGGAGACAGCTAATCAGGAGGCAGCTCATCAGATATTTCTTCCCAGGCCTCTACAACCAGTCACGGGAAGACTGAGGCTTAAGTGCTGTGTTAGTCCGTTCTCATACTGCTATAACGAAATACCTGAGGCTGGGTCATTTATAAAGACGAGAGGTTTGATTGACTCCTGGTTCTGCAGGCTGTAAAAGAAGCATAGCAGCATCTGCTTCTGGAGAGGCCTCAGGGAACTTACAAACACGGCAGAAGGCAAAGCAGAAGCAGGTACATCTCACGTGGTAGGAGGGGGAGAAAGAGAGACAGGGAGGAGGTGCCACACTTTTTCAAACAACCAGATCTCATGAGAACTCACTCACTGTACGGTACCAAGGGGGATGGTGCTAAACTATTCATGACAACTCCACCCCCATGAGCCAATCGCCTCCCGCCAGGCCTTCCCTTCAACACTGGGAATTACAACTCCACATGAGATTTGGTGGGGACACACATCCAAATAATATCAAGAGCTGAAAATCCAGTCCTTGTGTTGACACTGCTGGGGAGCAGATTTGGGAAGCAAGGGGTCATCAAGGAATAAGGCAAGAAATCAGGTACTTGGAAATTACAATACCAAGGTCAGAAGCATTAACTGTACAAGCAGGAGTTAGAAGAGTCATACAGAGATGGTTCAGATAAAGCATTATAATTATTATAAATATAAGACTGTTATAATAAGACAGATGATAGGAATTCTAGATGACTGTTTTTTGATATAAAAGCCAAAAAATTCAGAATTTCAGTAGATTAACAATATTCTTCATATATTAAGCATGAAGGAGAAAAAGGGTGAATAAAATATGAAATATAAATATAGTTCAGTTGTTCCTTATTTTTAACATATAGGCAAATAGTACTAGAGAGCCTACTAACAACAGATAATAAACAAAATATATAACATAAAAATTGCAATAAAATATAATGTAATACATATTATATTATATAAAATACATAAGAACTTGCTCACATCAAAGTTTATGTTTTTGATGTCCTTAAATTTAAAACAATTAAATATTCATATATATAATCTGTAGAAATATAAATTTTTTGTTCTGAGTTACAAGTTGCTTTATTATTACTAAATTAGTTATTTTCTGAATTCTAATTTATCTGATGGTTGAAAACACCCAATTACACACAACCTAGCAATTTGTGCAAACAATGCCCATACCACATGGTTTTATACAGCGTATCATTAAACTGTATCTTTTTTTTTTTTTTTTTTTTTGTGAGACGGAGTCTCTCTCTGTCACCCAGGCTGGAGTGCAGTGGCCGGATCTCAGCTCACTGCAAGCTCCGCCTCCTGGGTTCACGCCATTCTCCTGCCTCAGCCTCCCGAGTAGCTGGGACTATAGGCACCCGCCACCTCGCCAGGCTAGTTTTTTGTATTTTTTAGTAGAGACGGGGTTTCACCGTGTTAGCCAGGATGGTCTTAATCTCCTGACCTCGTGATCCGCCCACCTCAGCCTCCCAAAGTGCTGGGATTACAGGCTTGAGCCACCGGGTCCGGCCTAAACTATCTTTTTTTAAGCATGTGGATGCTAGTGAATTATGAATTCAAAGGTTACTGTATCAATTTCATATTAACTGGTGGCAATCACAAAAATCTGACATCACCACCACTGTTCAGTTGACAAGACCACTGCTCCACCATCTCCCCTTCTGCAGGAACCCCCAATCTGCATGAGTGTCTTGAGGTGGGATACAAAGTGGCTGAAGGTGTTGACTCTGAAGCTCAATTTCAAAGTCCACCTGCAAATCTTGCTAGCTGCAGCCTTTGGGCAAATTACATAACCTCTGTGTTTCCTGTATTCCCCATCTGGAGAATGGGAATGATAAGAATGCTGTGTATTTGTTGTGAGGATTAAAATATATTAAAATTAGTAAATATATTTTGCCCAGGTGCCATGAATCATGCCTGTAATCCCCGCACTTTGGGAGGCCAAGGTGGGAGGAACACTTGAAGCCAAGATTTCAAGAACAGCCTGGGCAACAGAGCGAGACCCTAATACTACAAACAACAACAACAAATTGCCAGGCTTGGTGGTGCATGCTTGCAGGTCCAGCTACAGGAGGCTGAGGCAGGAGGATTGCAGGAGAAGTTTGGGGCTGCAGTGAGCTATGATTGCGCCACTCACAATCACTCTGTTACAGCCTGGGTAACAGTGAGACCCTGTCTCTCAAATAAGTTAATTAATTAAATTAAATGAGTTAATATATTTAACACAGTAGAGCAAAAGAAGTACTCAATGAATGCCAGCTATCTATGGACATTATTATATCCTTGTTTTCAAGGGAGAGAGCCCACTCACTCCACCCCACAAGAGTATTGCATTCTGTCAATGTGCAATTAACTTAATTGCACATTTAAAAATAACAAAGAGAGCAAAACTGAATTGTTTGTAACACAAAGGATAAATGCTTGAGGGGATAGATACCTCATTTTCCATGATGTGATGATGATGTATTGCATGCCTATATCAAAATATCACATGTACCCCAATAAATACATACACCTACTATGTACCCACCTTCCTTTAGCCTTTTATTTTTTTCCTTATGTTGCCTAGAGGTGAGGATGGTGGTAGCAGGGCTAGTTCTGGCATATCCCGGCATGCTCTGGGGAGTGGCAGCTGACCTCTTTTTGTGTTTAGAATGTGGAGTACTTCGTGCCTTCGGTTCTCAGTGTTGAGCCTCAGCCACCATCCTGAGACAACAGGAAAAAGCCCATTTGGCAGGCTGTCATGTCACTTTATGAGCTTAAACGTTCAGCCTTCCAACATAGCTTGCTTTCTGCATGATCAGAGAAAGGAGGCACATCACCCAGTTTAATACAGTGTTTGTTAAAACAGAAGGCAGGACACCTTGGCCTCACTCTAATATTATGTAAATATTCAAAATTCTTTTTCTTAAAAGAAAAAAAAAAAAAACTCCCATGAACACAAAGCTCTTTAACCTTGTTTTTCTTCTACCGATTCTACAGGGAGTTGAATGGGTCCGAACATTTTGAAAATCACCATTTTAAATATCAAGTTAATATCTTAAATTCTACATTTTTCAAACTTTCTGCTGTTACAGTTTAAGTCACATTTCCCGAAGCAGGCTTCTTAACCTGTTAGCGATAAGCAAGTTGAACTACTGGTGCCTTTTTGCTTTTTTAATGTTTATTTACTTGTTGGGGGTTTTGTTGTTGTGTTACTGTTTTTATCAGTCGAAAGCTTTTCTTAAATTGTGTTTGGCATTTTCTTCTGGGGAGAAGGAAAATTTTAAAAACAAGACCAAAAAAATAACAAACTCGCAGTTAGCATAAAATAATAACAAGCAGAAAATGTTGGCTGAAACCTCTATATTCACTAAGTTTTCCAGAGGCAAATGTTATAGCTAATCACTTCCATATTTGCCTGGAAAAGAGTTTGACCTTTGTGAGTCTTTAGTATTCAGCTCTTCGGTAGGAAATTAAATGTAAGCAAAAAGCTTCTTTCCAAACAGGGCTAAAATCTGCTTACTTTAATAAAAGTGTTGTGCTATACACTTGACTACATGATGTAAACCTTATAACAGCATTGAACTAATTTTAAATAGTCATTTTCTCATTGTTTTGCTTCTTGTTTAATCGCCAAAACAGGATCCTTTTTGTAATTTAGCATGTATTTGAACACTTGTGCTTCTGAATGTTGAAAATAAATATATGAATAAAGTCTAAATCATTACAAAGGTAAACATCTCACCAAAGCAGTAGTATATGATCAGTCCCAGCCATGTGAAGGCTTTATGAAATGACCAAGGTTCTTTCTTTTCTTTTCTCTTCTGATTTCTATGGCCTATTCAACCTACTTAATGTGCAATATAGTTTATCTGTAACAAAACGAGAGAGTTATACATTTGGCAACTTAGTATCAAAACAATGAACATGAAAAAGAACTTTAAAATATACTACAAGAATGGAATTATCCAATCAGAAAAAAAATTTTTAAAAAGGAAATTCACAAAGCGACAGGAGTAAAAGTGTAAGTTGATGATGTCATATTTTTATTGAAATGTTTGTAGATGGCTCTTCTTAAGACTATCTGTTTATAGTGGCCACTACTTCATTCATCCTAAAAGACAGTTTGCTATGCATCTAAACAATAGAGAGGTCTCTATTTGCCACATTCTCTAAGTCTATACAGATCAACCTAGGTGAGACCCAATGGGTATTAATTTACATCACCCTCAGGTGGCTTAAGAAACAGGTATCACCTTTTGGCAGGGTGTGGTGGCTCACACCTGTAATCCTATCACTTTGGGAGGCCGAGGTGGGCGGATTGCCTGACCTCAGGAGTTTGAGACCAGCCTGGCCAACATGGCAAAATCCCATCCCTACTAAAAGTACAAAAAAATTACCTGGGTGTGGAGGCACATGCCTGTAATCCCAGCTACTCGGGAGGCTGAGGCAGGAGAATTGCTTGAACCTGGGAAGCAGAGGTTGTAGTGAGCCGAAATCGCACCACTGCACTCCAGCCTGGGTGAAAGAGCAAGACTCTGTCTCAAAGGAGAAAAAAAAAAAAAAGAAAGAAACAGATATCACTTTTTGGTGACAAAGGGGTAGCATGTTTGCTTCAGTGTTCAAAGAAATACCACAGCAAAAAAGAATTAAGGGATGAAACAAATAGCAGAAGCTTGCCGTTTTTAGCAAAAACATCTAAGAATGTATGGACGTTTAGAAACTTCAGTGAGCTAATAAAAAATCTAATGAGGCTAAGAGGTTATAAGATTTTGAGAAGATTACTATTTCAGGTTCATTTTCAGATGTCCAGCATGATTTCTCATGCTCTAAGTCAAGATAACCTGTAGTAACTTAGTTGTTTGGTGTTAATATTTCTGCTTTCATTTTTAGATTCATGGGTGACATAAATTTTACTATTCCGTCTGATAAAACAGTAAGTTCCACCTAAATATACTGTTGTTAACAGATTACACATAACTTGCTTTTTAACATTGTTTTCTACAAAACTCAGAAATTAGAGACTAGGCCAGGCGTGGTAGCTCACACCTGTAATCCCAGCACTTTGGGAGTCTGTGGTGGAAGAAGAGGATTGCTTGAAGCCAGGAATTCAAGACCCTGGGCAATATAGAGACACTCCCCATCTCTACCAAAAAAAAAAAAAAAAAAGTAAAAGAAAAAAGAAGAAACAAACAAAAAACTAGATTCTTACTTCACTCCCTTTTTTTCCTCCATGATTATATCACAGATTCAGGTGGCAACTAGTAGCCAAGAAAAGAAAACTTTCCTCATATCCACTGGAAGATGTACAAGATGCAATTTTAAAACGCTGATTTCTATACCATGTGTTATCCGTCTCCAGTGATATTGAATAGTCTCATTCAGAGGCTCCGCAAGGGGAAAAAAAGACATATAATGAATATTATATTACCTTGTTTTAAAAACAGATTGTTCAGAGATTTTCAATGATGGATATAAGCTCAGTGGATTTTACAAAATCAAACCTCTCCAGAGCCCAGCAGAATTTGCTGTTTATTGCGACATGTCCGATGGAGGAGGATGGACTGTAATTCAGAGACGATCTGATGGCAGCGAGAACTTTAACAGGTGTGCTCACTATGACATAAGAATTTATTTGTAGCAGCAAATGTGAGATTTATAAGTCAAATATTTTGATCATATCCTGAAGTCTATTAATAAGACAGAATTTCATTCTCTCTAAACAAGAATACTGAAAATGAATGAACAAATCAAGAAAATATTGGGGGTGGTGGTAGCATGGGGTGGGTGGTGCTCACTTTGGTACCACAAATGGAGTTTGCTAAAATCAGCTTCCACTTTACATTTTTTAGAGGATGGAATGACTATGAAAATGGCTTTGGAAATTTTGTCCAAAAACATGGTGAATATTGGCTGGGCAATAAAAATCTTCACTTCTTGACCACTCAAGGTAAGGTTTGAATGATGTCAAATTTATTTGGAATACAATAAAAACAACACTACAATTTTTTTTTACCAAATTATAGGCAATGGAACTAATTCAATAATTGCTATGATTTACAGATGGTAGTGATAACTTTTGGGCAATAATCCCAAATGTAAAATGTGGCTGCCTAAAATTAGCAACAGAAAAAAAAACTAGAATTAGGTTGGGGGAATTGTTTTCTCATATATATGTATGAGAAATATCTATATATATAGATATATAGATATTTATAGATAGTGATATAGTCTATATAGATATATAGATATATATATCTATACTTTGTGAGAAGTAATAAATGGCTGTTGATTTTAAGCCAGTAGCTTAAATATATCAGATATATAGATATACATATCACTATATATGTTAGATATATAGATATATATCACTATATATATTAGATACATAGATATATGTATCTAATATATATATATAATATATATATAGATCACTATATATAGATATATCTATATATTAGATATATAGATATATATCACTATATAGATAATATATAATCTAATATATATAGATATATATCACTATATATTAGATATATAGATATATATCATATATATCACATATATCTATATATCTATATAGAATATATAGATATTCTATTTCTGAAAAGGATACAAAATGTCATAATTATTCTTTTTTGATGCCTTGAGTTCCTGAAGATTATATATACTGTATCAGTTATCGAATGTCACAATAATACCGTGTAACAATCCCCTTTCAAAGCTAGTGGCTTAAAATCAACAGCCATTTATTACTTCTCACAAATCTGCAGGTTGGCTGGGTGATTTTGCTGATCAGGGCTGGGCTCTGCTGATCATGGCTGGGCTTGCTTATGAATGTGCAATCAACTTCCTGATTGAAGTTGCTGCTCTAGGATGGAAGGATTCCACCGGGCTCCATAGGGTCTCTCATCTTCCAGCTGGCTAGCCTGGACTTGGTCTTGTAGCACACGCAGGGTTCCAGAAAAAAGAGTGGATGTATGTAAGTCTCTTGAGATCTAGGCTCAGAACTGGCACGGAATCATTTTTCTTCTATTGGTGAAAGCAAATTACAGGGGCAGCTCAGACTTTTTTTAAAAAGGAAATGAACAATGGGAGGAGTTACAAAGACATATTATGAGAGGGAGGTGAAAAATTGGGGAACTGGCGCTATTTTTCCAATAAAATACCATAATATATGAAATGTCCATGTTTCCACATACCTCTCATCTTTTATGTTGAAATTTTTTCAAAGATGCAATCAATTTGAAAGAAGTTTCAACCTATCACCTGTATCCTACATTAACAATTTACTTTGCTTGTTTTTATTACGTGTCTATCCATTTGCCCATTACTCAATCCATCCATCAATCCATCTTTTCTGTATATATATTTCAAAGTAAATAGCAGACATCTGGACAATTCTCCCTATATACTTTTAAATTTTTATCTTTAGAGTTTCATATTTGTCTAAAATGTCATTTCTTTGATAACAAATTTTCCAAGCTTCTGTCTCCCATGTTCTTTTGCTCCAATCCATTATCTTCCCTACCTCTGTTGTAGTCTGAGATTACCGTCAGTCCCACTCAAGTCTTATCCTGAATCCTTCATAAAAGGCAACTGTAATGTCCAAGAAAGCATGCTAAGTTACACTGCAATTCCATTAAAAATAAAACAGCCAGGCATGGTGGCTCATACCTGTAATCCCAGCACTTTGGGAGGCCGAGGCAGGTGGACCCCATGAGTCCAGGAGTTTGAGACCAGCCTGGTCAATTCAGTGAAACCCTGTCTCTACTAAAAATGCAAAAATTAGCCAGGCATGGTAGCTCATCCCTGTAATCCCAGCCACTTACGAGGCTGAGGCAAGAGAATTGCTTGAACCCAAGAGGCGGAGGTTGCAGTGAGCCAATACACTCTAGCCTGGATGACAGAGTGAGACTCCATCTCTAATAATAATAATAATAATAATAATAATAATAAATTAATTAAAATAAAACAAGAGTTCATTTTTTCCACCCAAGTTCTGGAAAGCTATTGGTGTTTCTATATTTATAGTAGTAGGATTATGGTTATAAAGTTCTTTGAGACACTAGAATAATAAACATTAGACAGGATGAGTAATCCTAGAAACCTTATACTTTCTTTATATGTCCTTCTTATGATCAGTGCTCTCCAAATTTATATAAGGCTTCCTTTCCTTCAACATATCTATTATTCTAGTTTTAAGTGTTTTACGCCAGATACATAAAATTTGCCATACCAACTTCTGTTTAATTTGCACGTTGATATTTGTCTGGTTTCTTATTGAAACTATGAAAACCCCAGAGCAGTAACCCTTGGCTCTTTCTAAATATATGAAATTCAAACTTATTATTTTTCAAGGTATTATGATGTACATATTTGCCCAGAGGAACTTTGCCAACAAACCTGTTCCCGTTCGTATTTCAACTTGGTACTCAGGCTGGCTAATCTCATGGCAGTAAAAATGTATTTTTCAGTACCTAGGCCCACAATCATGTATCCCAATAACCCAGACAATAGGCAGTGCTTTTGTCTCTGCATTCTTTAATTATGAGAGCATTATGGCTAATGAATTACCTCTGGGAATGGCTTTATCCCCACTACATAAATCTTGACTAACAAGTAGTGGCCATAAAATTGATTTAGAAATGGTAAATGTAATTTGTTTACTTACTGAACACAGAGACATTTAAATGGTTAGCCAAAAAACTGAGACTTTATGTCTCTTCTATAATACAGTTTTTTTGGTTTTGTTTTGTTTTTTGTTTTTTTTGAGACAGATTCTTGCTCTGTCGCCCATACTGGACTGCCTTGGCTCACTGCAACCCCTGCTTCTTGGTTCAAGCAATTCTCATGCCTCAGCCTCTTGAGTAGCTGGGATTATAGGCGCACACCACCACACCCAGCTAATTTTTGTATTTTTAGTAGAGACGGTGGACTCACCATGTTGGCCGGGCTGGTTTCAAACTCCTGACTTCACCAAGTGATCTGCCTGCCTCAGCCCCTCAAAGTGCTGGAATTACAGGTGTGAACCACCGCATCTGGCCTGTAACAGAGTATTTTTAAAGACAGTTGACTTAGCCTGCCTTGCTGCTCTTATACACTCTACAGTCTTGTCTCACGTGACCTTTACTACCTTGAGAGAGCTCCCTGGGGCAAGGCAACTGTGGTGCTAAATTAACAAGCCCAAGAGGCCCGCATCCCCTCTTAAAGGGACTCCAGTCATGAGGAATCCAGCATTCCCTGCCCCACAGCCTTGCGTTTGTTTATAGGACTCCTTCAGGCTGTTCTCTTGTCTGTCCTTTTCTGCTGCTGGTGTGTGCACCCTTAAGCTTGAGGGGAGGCTAAAGAAAGGCTTTTTTTTTTTTTAATGGAGTCCCGCTCTGTCGCCAGGCTGGAGTGCAGTGGCACAATCTCGGCTCACTGCAACCTCTGCCTCCTGGGTTCAAGCAATTCTCCTGCCTCAGCCTCCTGAGTAGCTGGGATTACAGGCATGCGCTACAATGTCCAGCTAATTTTTGTATTTTTAGTAGAGACGGGGTTTCACCATGTTGGCCAGGATAGTCTCAATCCCCTGACCCTGTAATCCATCCACCTTGGGTGTGAATAGAGCTTGGATATGCAGCCTCGGATGTCCACAAGGGGATCCAAAGCCCCTTGCTATAAGTGATGGAGATGGGGATGGGAAGACAGAAGAGGCCAACCACAGATGCGACCTAGGTGGTAGGACTATTCAGGGACTCTCTTTCCCGGTGCCTCCATGGTCTGGCTTGAAACTCCAAGGAATGTGAGGCTCTAAATTATAACCTGACCTTACAGGTCATTGTTATATCTTATTTATCAAAGTAGGAGGATAGAACACATATGATCTAATAATTTGATTTATAACCTTCAGTGCCCCAGACAAGAGTTCTGTTTCTGAAAAAGGAAGCCTTTGTTATTTCCAAACAATGGAACAACAACAATAAAAATATTACTTGAAGGTAGCAACTATTTTAATCATTTTAAAAACATAATGCTCTTTTATCACCTAGAATTTTTACAGTCATTAAAGTATATCTTTATTGTTTAGAGATTTGCTTTCATCATATATCATTCTTTAGCATATATAAAAGAGAATATATACCCAATACATTGTATCCCTTTTTTTTTTTTTTTTTTCCTGAGACGGAGTCTTGCTCTGTCGCCCAGGCTGGAGTGCAGTGGAGCGATCTTGGCTCACTGCAAGCTCTACCTCCCAGGTTCATGCCATTCTCCTGCCTCAGCCTCCCGAGTAGCTGGGACTACAGGTGCCTGCCACCACGCCCGGCTAATTTTTTATGTATTTTTGGTAGAGACGGGGTTTCACCATGTTAGCCACGATGGTCTTGATCTCCTGACCTCATGATCCGCCTGCCTTGGCCTCCCAAAGTGCTGGGATTACAGGCGTGAGCCACAGCGCCCGGCCCCATTGTATTCTTAAAATGCTTTTACACGTAGATATCAACTCTTCAGAAATACCTTTTTACTCAGAGTCATTGATGTTAGTGTATTTTCCAGTAATTATCATCATCTCCGCCATTGAGAATATTGGTGGTACAGCATTTCTCAGAAATGTTTCCTTGTTGTCTCTGAAATTCTCCAATGACATCCCCTCTATAAACTTTGATGCTAGTCTCTTGATCTTATGAGCTATTATCAAAGGAAGGTTTTCAGATAACAATTGGGATTCGTATTTCTTCTTCAAATTATTCTTAAAGGGTTTGCTGGCTGATCTTTTATGCTATCAGGAAAATAACCAAGTTCGGGCATATGCAGGTAATGGCAACTACATTTTACAAACCTAGTGGCTCAGCTACAAAAAAATTACACGATGTCATTAATAGTTGCCATTTACGTTCAAGATCAACATTCTTACTGAAATCAAGAAAAAGGACAAACTATTAAACGTAAAAACGTCAGTCCTTTCATTGTTAGATTGATTTAAGTAATGACTTATTTTTTCTGTTGTTCATTATTAAGAGAATTGCACTAGCTTTTACCTCTGAGAGATCTAGTAGACATTTTTTAAATTTCATATTGTATCCATCATTTTCTTACAATACATTACACGATAAAATGTTCATGTTATAACTACAATGGAGTCGCTGTTTAATCCTTGAAAACCGGTTCTTGGCCAAAGGAAATGGTAAAAGTAAAATAGAGCTGTGAATTATTTTTAATCCGCTGTAGTCCGTGTCATGTCACGCATTTTTAAAAATCATAATTTCTTGTTTCATTTTTAGAAGACTACACTTTAAAAATCGACCTTGCAGATTTTGAAAAAAATAGCCGTTATGCACAATATAAGAATTTCAAAGTTGGAGATGAAAAGGTACTACAATTTTCTAATAAGTAACACCATAAATAAATGCTTAAAATGTGCAATAAAACCCTGGAGTCAGTGGAAATAAAAATACACAGTAGAGCCTGTTCTTTTGTTTATGAAATAAACTTCACTTTAAAATGGTCATAGAGGAACTCTACTGACATTGGAAATTGCTCTTTTTCTTTAGAATTTCTATGAGCTGAATATTGGGGAATATTCTGGAACAGCTGGAGATTCCCTTGCGGGGAGTTTTCATCCTGAGGTGCAGTGGTGGGCTACTCACCAAAGAATGAAATTTAGCACCTGGGACAGAGATCATGACAACTATGATGGGAACTGCGCAGAAGAAGATCAGTCTGGCTGGTGGTTTAACAGGTTTGATGTCTTATGAGCATAGTCGTAATGGAGTTGATGATATCTCACTTATGGGCATTAATTATCAGTATAATATGTATGGTAATGTTGGTCTTTATTTATAATATTAGTATTACTAAGTAATCATTAGAATTCTTCAGCAATGAAGTAGTTTTGAGGATTTGTTCATTGTGAACATTAGTAAAGTTTAAATGTCATAGAAATAAATTATTACTTCTACAAAGATCATTTGCAAACTGAATTATGGATGCGTTATAAACAGAAGGCCACAAATTCACACAAAGAAAGAGACAGCATCTATACATAAGGAGAATATTTGGCATCCTAATAACCAACTAGTTCTTCACCTGACCATATCACACAAAAGAGCCACTGTTATTGCTATAATGTTTCTGTAGAGTACTACTTTTCAATCACTATGGCTTTCATTAATTCATTGAATCCAAGCCTCTCCCAACACAAAAATTTCCTTAACAATAATCCTGAAACCTAATTCTACCCTCTGACTGAATACATTCGTGTTACTTTAGCAGCAAATTCATTCCATTTTTGATTGTACATATTTGCTTCTTTTTTTACTGATACAAAATATTTTATATATTTCTGAGGTACATGGGCTAATTTTTCAATTTTTGGTAGAGATGGGGTTTTGCCATGTTGCCCAGGCAGGTCTCGAACTCCTGGCCTCATGTGATCCTCCCACCTTGGCCTCCCAAAGTGTTGGGATTACAGGCGTGAGCCACCGCACCCGGCCTAATTCATAAGTTTTAAATCGCACGTCATTCTGAGCAGAGATTCACACCATTGGATTCATTCTGCCCAGGAGGTGGGTCACCCCTTTGTCTGGCGTCTCCACACTGAAAGGCCTCCCTGCCCGAGACACTTAGTAGCAGTCTCAGGTATCAGATCCAGTGTTGCGATTTCAGAGTGCTTGTGTTCGAATCATGTTTATTTGATTTAATAATGGTCCCAAAGCCCAAGAGCTGTAATGCTGACATATTGTTATATAATCATAATATTTTATTATTAGTTATTGTTAATCTCTTACTGTGCCTAATTTATAAATTAACTTTATCATAGGTATGTATATTACAGGAAAAAACAGAGAACTACTATAGATTTTTTTTCCCTTACTACACCCACAAGATTTTTCCCCCTAGCATTCTGAAATTTTACAGTGACATACACTGTTGCGGTCTTCTTTTCGTTTACTACAGTGGGTACTCAGTGGTTCTTTTCAATCTATATGATGTCCTTCAGTTTAGTAAACTTTATTTTCTTTATCTGCTCGTTAGTCACTTTGTAGCTGTTTCAGTTATCAGACTGAAAAAGCATAGTATCGGTATATAGAATTTGCTATTATCCGTAGTTTCAGGCATCCGCTAGGGGTCTTGGAATGTATTCCCTACAGATAACGGAGTACTACTGCGGTTGTAAAAATAGTCATTTTTTTTTTCTGTATTTTGCTTTTTTAAAAAACATTTGAGTCCATTTAATATTTGATCATTTGTAAAGGAACTGGAGTATTTCCAGCAGTGTGAAGGAGAGAAACCAATTTCTCTCTCTTGCTTTGCAAATTGGAGGTGATGATAGTCTTTTCCTTAGTGGTTTTCCTGTTATTTTAAAAATCATCTTCTTCACCTGTTCCTACTCTTCCTTTCTTTCCCCCTTGTCCTTCTAAGTTACCACGACATAAAACTTACGTGTAATTCATGAAGTCGTCTGCAGCGTCAACAATGTTTGATTTTGAAAAGAATTCCATATGCAGAAATAATTACTAATAGTATCATGAAATCAAACCCATGTACTTTATCCAGCTGACTGGCTTCTCAGGCATCTGAATGAAAACTACCATACATACTAACGTGGGCAAAGGAATGATTTACCTGACTTTAAAGATATGGGTTCAGGGAGAACAAAGAAAGGCAATTCATTGGCTGGAGCCACCCAAGGAGACTGCGTTATCCTTGGAATCAAAGGAGTTGATAAGGCTGTGCAATTGGAAAATCAGTAGGCATTAAGAAAGAGAAAGTAGATAGTTCTAGAAACTTGATGCTACTTTTACTATGCCTACTATTAGTGAGTTTGACTATCATCTTTTCTTCCTTTTTACTCTTGCTTTTCTTCTGTTCCATAGTTCTTCTAATTTACATGAAATGTTGGCACTTCATAAATACGACCCACCTATAAGATGTTCTTTTTCCATATAGCAAACTAATCACTGTGTGTTGATGTCTTGTCTTTGTCAGCGTAGCATTTCACATGAGTGCTCACAGCCACTTCTTCACCAAGGGAACCCCAATCATCCCCCAATCTAGTTTCAAATCCAGGCTGTTCTAAAAATTAAAGGATGCTGGAAAACTGGTCTCAGAATAGTGAAGGTTTCTTATGTTGATCACAGTTAGTTTCCTAATGGGATTCAAATCATAGACCAAATATAAAAATACAGTTAGCAGATATCTCTAGATAGACAAATATATGCCAATATATATATTCTGGAGACTCAATTTACAGTATTTTCTTTTGCAACATTACTTTCCATGATGTTTTAAAAACGCAGTAGGCTTTGACATGTGCAGACTTAACATACGTATTTTCAATTAATTACGTCCATTTAAATTAGGAGGACTTCGAGAATGCTCAGTAGGAGTGGATCGTTAGGCTGATAAGTGATTCAAGCCAGCCACTCAGCCTTTATGGGTAGATTATGTGCTTTTTTGATTCAATAATTTGGGTTTTTCCATAGATGTTCAGAACTATCTCTTGTGAATGTTCTCCTTCTATCCTAATTCTGACATCTTTTCATTAATTGTATCAATAAAGAAGTATACGGTAATTAATTTCATAATAACGCACACAAACTTATTGCACACTCTTACATGTAAATTATACATATCAAGGACAAGATTTACACACTCCAAAAGAGGAAAGAAACATTTTTATATTGTCGATAACCTAACCAGCTTATCTAGATTGGTGCAATGCATGTAAAAAATTAACTCAGCAACTAGGAAAAAATGATTATTGGTTGATAGATGGGAAAACTTTAAATGGTGGTTTAGGTTTTGTTTGCTTACCCTTGAGATTAAAATAATTGATATGCTGGCAATTTAAAGAAGAGGGAGGGAGTTTGAATTACGAAAGCTGAGTCTTAGCAGCAGATGAACGAACGTGTGAGTGCAAATTATCCAGGAAAGCCAGCCGTAGAGCACCTTGCCCGTGCCTTACTTTGCCGACACTCACCTTAGCTCTTGCTAAGTATGAGATTAAGACTGTTCTGAGTCAGGAGGTCGTAAGGCTGGAGGTTACAAGGATTGGTTTTTGTTGGCTTGTTTTCATTTTTCATTTAAAGGCAATCAAAAATTGAAATGCTTATTTTTCAATGCACTATGAGTGGCCTGGGTTGTTTTTTCAGATTTGTTATGGCAGTAAAACTCACCAGTTTAAAATACCCATCTCTGAGTCCAGGCATGGTGGCTCACACCTGTTATCCCAGCGTTTTGAAAGGCTGAGGCAGGAGGATTGCTTGAGCTCAGGAGTTCGAGACCAGTCGGGGCAACATAGAGAGCCCTTGTCTCTATTATTTAAAAAAATTAAAAAACAAAAAATAAAACACAATATCCATCTATTGTAGACATTTCTCAGCTTTTGGAAACTAGTAAATATTTACTTGTCTGAAAAATGGCAGAATTCGTAGTTCAAAAGTTTTGGGTATTTGCTAGCAAAATAAAAGACTTTCTGAACAATATTTTTCCAGTCTGATTGTTGTTTTCTTTTTTTTTTCTCTCCCCTCCTTCCACTAGGTGTCACTCTGCAAACCTGAATGGTTTATACTACAGCGGCCCCTACACGGCTAAAACAGACAATGGGATTGTCTGGTACACCTGGCATGGGTGGTGGTATTCTCTGAAATCTGTGGTTATGAAAATTAGGCCAAATGATTTTATTCCAAATGTCATTTAATTGTTGCTGTTGGGCTTTCATTTCTGCAATTCGGCTTTGTTTAAAGTGATTTGAAAAATACTCATTCCGAACATACCATGCGCAATCATGATAACTGTTGTGAGTACTGCTTTTCATTCTTCTCACTTGCCTTTGTTACTTAATGTACTTTCAGTACAGCAGATATGCTATATTCACCAAATAAACGTAGATTGTGTTAATATTTATCGAATCCCTGTGTGCAAAAGGCTCTGATACAAGCTTATGTCAGACAAAACACAAAAAGCATAGATTATATACCATGGCTTAGGATATATAAGCATAAATGCATAATAAATTAAGAATGCAATTGGCAAAACACATGACAAAATCCAGCAAATAATGGATTGCCGAATCAGCTGCAGAGACCGTTAATATTATGAGTTGGGATTTGAACTCAGGTTTTGGATTACAGAGTGGAAACTTTTAAGCACAAAATGGGATCTTAATCACTACAAAACACTGCTTGTATTTTTAGGAAGTTTATGTAGGTTACACACTTCTCTCACAGGGCTCATTTTAATTCTTATGCCAATCCTGTGAGGTTATTATTATCTCCATCTAACAGAGCTGAGAATTACTGGGTCTGAGTTTTTGTGACTGCTCAAAGTTACAAAGTAGGGGAACAAGACCTCAAATTCAAGTCTTCTGATGCGAAATCAAATGTTTTGCCACCACCCTATAGCTTCTTCTGGATAGAATTTGGATTGGTGCAGAGTAGGGAAAGAACGTTTCAAATGAGAGTAAAAGATACTCCAAAAGGCCGGGCACGGTGGCTCACGCCTGTAATCCCAGCACTCGGGGAGGCTGAGGCAGGCAGATCACTTGAGGCCTGCAGTTTGAGACCAGCCTGGCCAATGTGATGAAATCCCGTTTCTACTAAAAATACAAAAATTTGCTGGGTGTAGTGGTGTGAGCCTGTAATACCAGCTACTTGGGAGGCTGAGGCAGCAGAACGCTTGAACCTCGGAAGCAGAGGTTGTAGTGAGCTGAGATCGTGCCACTACACTCCAACCTGGCCAACAAAGTGAGACGTCATCTCAGGAAAAAAAAAAAAAAGATACTCTAAAGAATATTTGTGTGCCAACTACATGTCAAGCACAGAGAGTTCAAGTCCACACAGAGCTTAGCTTTTTGGTAAATAATCATAGAATCACAAAATACACATAATTTTAAAAGTTGATACATATGAAGTAAAGGTATGTGCCTGGGAAATGTATACCAGGAGGATCTGACCTGGCTTTGGGGTAGGAGATCAGAAAAGCTTCCCGGAAAAACTGACTTTTTGAGCTGAGACCTTTCAACAAGGTGTATGTGGGGAGATATTGCAGGCGGAGGGAATCACGTGTGTAAAGTACACAGAGCAGGAAAGTGCTTGGCAACAAAAGGTTAGACAGCCAATATAGTTAAGTGATCCTTAAATCCTTAAGCCAAGGATTGTGCCACTTAATAGCTATATGACCTTGGGTAGGCAACTTGACTTCTCTGAGCCTAAGCTATCTCATCTACAACATAGCGATTACAATAGCACCTGCCTCATAGGGTTGCTTTGAGAATTATAAAAGTGTAACACTTAGCATAATGCCTCGCACAGAGTGAGCGTTCAATAAGAACTAGGTGTGATGATTTGTGAAGCAGGCATTTGTGATACAGATGCCTTTGAAATCATAGGCCACATAAGGATATTAAGATTAGTTGTCCTTAATTCTCTAAATCAGCGTTTCCCACGCAGCACTTCTCAGATTTAATATCATACAAATCAACCGAAGACTTGTTAAAATATAACTCTAATTCCAAGATGGAGCCTAATATTTGGGTTTTCTAACAAGGTTCCAGATGATGCAGATACTGCTGGTCTAGAAATTACACTTGGAAAAGCAAAAAGCTAGAGAGCCGTAGTTCTGTGAGACACTGGGAGTTTAGTACAGAAAAAAGAAAAGGGCTGCTTGATCGAATAAATTCAGGAGATGACATACTCAACAGAATTCCACAGGTTTCTTCTCTTGGGAATTTCGCAGTTCTCTAATTTTCTAATGCGCATTCTGAAGTTCCAAGAAGGACATACGGTTGTACCATTTTTATATCTAATTAAGAGTGTGCTCTGCTGCAAGGTGTAAATCGCCTGATGATGGAAGTCCAAACAAATAAGGATTTATTCATCTTACGTAGTGAGAACTCAGGAGGTAAGCAGTTGCTGTCCTATGTTCAGGGCAGCGTGCAGTCTGATGCTGCAATTCATTTAGCCCATCCTTCAAAATTGCAAATTACCTACTGCAGTTCCTGCTTTGAGTTCACGTTAAAAGCAGTAAGAAAAGCGAAGGGTCAACAGACTTCAGTTTATGCTGTGTTGGTCAGAATTGTATCATATGTTCACTCCGACTGAAAGTATGATCAGGAAAAAGAAGATTTATTTTTATGATGTCTATAGAATGTGCAGGCAAAGGAGAAATGTTTGCCAGGGTTCTTGATTGTTTTTCATTGTGGTCTTGTGAGAACAGTGTTCCATAGAACACATGTTGGTAAGCTATAAATAATAGATCATCAGTGACAATTTTAAATATGGGCTTAATTGCTCAAGTAGTAGCCTGAAGAACTCACACAATTATGAGATCAAAAGAAGAAAAGCTTTTAAAGGAGAAAAAAAAAAAAAAGATTCCACAGAGAAGTGGGAGGGGAGCTAAACAAATTATGGTGTCGAACCTCAGTATAATGGTTTTTCAATGCAGAAGGAGTGATTTTAAAAATTTAAAATGCCATAAAATAATGGAAGAGAAGTTCTAATGAAAGATCATTGGAGTTAGTGATAACGTTATTTGTGTTCTTAAATCCATTTCAGTGGAATGGTAGGGAGCTCTAGGCCAGGAAATAAAAACAGTTAGAGAGAATAGATTAGGGCCTGGCGCAGTGGCTCATGCTTGTAATCCCGACACTTTCGGAAACGAAGGTGGGCGGATCACCTGAGGTCAGGAGTTGGAGACCGGCCTGGCCAATGTGGTGAAACCCCATCTCCACTAAAAATACAAAAATTAGCTGGGCATCATGATGCATACCTGTAGTCCCAGCTACTCGGGAGGCTGAGGCAGAAGAATTGCTTGAAGTGGGGAAGTGGAGGTTTCAGGGAGCCGAGACTGGGCAACTACACTCCAGCCTGAGCGACAGAGTGAGACTCCTCATCCAAAAAAAAAAATAAAAGACAGAATGTAGATAGGTCATTTGAGGAGTTTGGATGTAAAATAGAGAATCTGGACTGATTTTTTCTGATTTAGGAAGACTCCAGTCTAAAATAAATGTCTCCAAAATTTCACCATTAGTGAGTTATTTATTAGGCTTTATCACTTTTTGAAATGCAAAATGCTTTTATTTTGTATCAGCTGATTCCACTTTAAGGTTAACAAACTTATGAGTGTTTTGAAATATATATATATATTTTTTGATAGAGCAAAATGTAGAGGAAATGCGAGAAGCCTTGCATGAACAGAGAATCCACTGGATTACAAACTCTTTATTTCAGAGGCTGCATTCATCTTGTTGACAGTTTTATCTCCATCTCTCCGCACGGTGTCTGACACATGACAGGATCTCGAATGTTCTTTGACTGCCTGATTGAGGAAATAAGTAAAAAATCAAACCACATGGCTAAGCGCGGTAGCTCATGCCTGTAATCCCAGTACTTTGGGAGGCCAAGGCAGGCGGATCACGAGGTCAGGAGATCGAGACCATCCTGGCTAACATGGTGAAACCCCGTTTCTACTAAAAATACAAAAAATTAGCCAGGCGAAGTGGTGGTCGCCTGTGGTCCCAGCTACTCAGGAGGCTGAGGCAGGAGAATGGTGGGAACCCGGGAGTGAGCCGAATCGCGCCACTGCACTCCAGCCTGGGCGACAGAGCGAGACTCCGTCTCAAAAAAAAAGAAAAAAAAAAAAGAAACAAAGCATAAAATGAATGTAAAGTGTATAGTCCATAGAAGAGTGCTACTTCATTTGATATTACAGAACTTATGGCCGCTGGTTATTTCTATGAATATCAAAATATTGGAACCTACAAAATCAATGTGTAAAAATAGCATCAAATTCAAGATCCCATGTATTTACTTTTTCTTTTTCTTTCCTAATTGCTAGTAAAGAATTTACAAGGGTTGGGCGCGGTGGCTCACGCCTGTAATCGCAGCACTTTGGGAGGCCGAGGTGGCCTTATCACCTGAGGTCAGGAGTTTGAAACCAGCCTGGTCAACATGGTGAAACCCTGTCTCTACTAAAAGTACAAAAATTAGCCGGGCGTGATGGCACACGCTTGTAATCCCAGCTGCTCAGGGGGCTGAGGCAGGAGAATCGCTTGAACACGGGAGGTGGAGGTTGCAGGGAGCCGAGACTGTGCCATTGCACTCCAGCCTGGGCGACAGAGCGAGACTCTATCTCAAAAAACAAAGAAGAAGAAGAATTGACACATGAAAATATCCTATATAATCTTATGCATATAGCAAAGTTTTATCAAGTGTTTTATCAGGACTGTGAAAAGTATGTTATGTCCTCATTGATACTTTAAAAAGATATACATGTCTCATATATACGTGGAAAAAATCTGCATGTATACGTGATAGTGGTCACCTCAGGGCTTGGAGATGTAATGAAAGGACACTCCTTTTTATATTTCCTACCATTTGATGCTGTGAAATGTTTTGTCATTTGTGCATAGTACATATTTAATAATAATACTTTTTATATAAGCAAAGTGAATAAAATAGGTTGTTGGTCCTGAAGAAACAAATCAAATGACATTAAGGATATGAGTCTATCAGGTATATTACACGTAGGTTTGGCAATTTAGTTCATTTCAAAAACAAAAACAAAAATCCTGAAGCTAAACTGCTATCAAGCTGCGCTGTGAATACGGCAGTCACCAGTCTCATGTGGCTCCTGCTTACTTGAAATAAGGCTAGTCCTTATTCAGATGAGCTATAAATATAAAATACACAATGGATTTTGAAGACATAGTATCCCAGAAAAAGAGAAAATACCTCCAAAAATAAGAATAATTTTTAGGTTGATTACATTGTTAAATAATACTTTGGATGGATGAAGCTAAATAAAATATATTACTAAAATTAATTAGGCCTCTGTATTTGTACTTTTAAAAAGTCATTATTAGACATGTTAAAATTATATATATTGGCCAGACATGGTGGCTCACACC